ATTTCACTGGTCAAAGAGCCAGTTGGCTTAAGGATCAAGGTCATCTGATACTAAATGGTTTCTGTTATTTTGTTTCTTCACTCAGTGAGGCATGCCTTTAAACCAAACTCAACCCAACCCATTGCTGCATGACTATGTGATTCTGACACATAGTTCCCCTATTAGACAGAGTAGAACAGCTCCATAGGGTTTCCAAGGCTGGCATCAATGGGCTCAAGCGTGGAAACCATAGTGAGGTTGGCCCAGGATCGGACAGGGTTTTGTTCTGCTGTGCATAGGGTCACTAGGAGTTGGTACTGACTCGATGGCACCTAACAACAAGAACAATCTTTACTGAGGAGTCCTGGTGTGATGCTGTGGGCTAATGCGCTGGACTGTAAAGTCGTTTGAACCACAAGCCCAGTGGTTCAAACTCACCAGCTGCTCCTTGGAAACTCTATACAGGATCACTATGGATCAGAAATGACTCGATGACATTTAACAACAATCTTTACAGAAGTAGACAGCAGCTTCTGGTGGGTTCAAATCGCTGGCCTTTAGGTTAACAGAGGAGCACTTAACCACTGTGCCACCTCTCTGTTGTTGTAAAGTGCTCTCTTCAGGATGTCAAAATATCTAGATGATTAATTTTAGCTTTTACTTTCCATGTAAATGTTTGGCATTGCTTATACATTTTTAGGAGTCCTGGTGTGGCACTGTGGGTTAATGTGCCAGACTGCAAAGCCATCTGAACTGCAAGGTCGGTGGTTCAAGCTCACCAGCTGCTCCTTGGAAACCCTATACAGGATCGCTATGGGTCGGAACCAACCACTTCACAACAACAACAAGAAGGAATCCTGGTGTGGTACTGTGGTTAATGCGTTAGACTGAAAGGTTGGTTTGAATCTCAAGGTTGGCGTTTCAAACTCACCAGCTGCTCCTTGCAAACCCTATACAGGGTCACTATGAGTCAGAACCAACTCGATGCCACTTAACAACAACATACTTCTTAAAACAACTTTATTGAGGCATAATTTACCCACCCTACAATTCATCTATTTAAAATGTACACTTCTAGGAGTCTTAGTAAATTTAAACAGTTATACAACCATTATCACAATCTAGTTTTAGAACAATTCCATTATATACTTTGCTTTCAATCAGTGAAATAATTTATTAGACCACTAACTTGTGAATTTAAACCATCTAGCTCTCTAGAACCTAGCCGAGGTATTCATTTTGAATAACTCAAGCTTTGAAGCAAAACAAACTCAAACTCTCAACTTTACTCAAAATAGAGGTTGGTACAGCACAGTTTCCAAGTCTGTGAGCTAATTGTCAAATATAAATGAAAGCAAATGTGTGTATTTGGAAAATATTTACTGTATAATTCAATATAGCTTAAGCCAAGAGGCATAAAATTAATTTAAATATTTAAAAATGGTCCCAATTATAGCCACCTTATACCCAAGGAAGAACAATGTTAAATTTTGATCTAGTATTTCCCAAGTTTACAGAAGAAATATTCCCCCTTGCTTTTTTTTTTTTTAACTTTTTATTGTGAATTGGGTAAAAATGTTTATAGAACAGATGTTTTCCACTCAACAGTTGATACACATTTTGTTTCATGTCATTGATTGCAATCCCTACAATATGAAATTATTTATCCTACTCCCCCTGCCCCCTAAGTATATTCTATTTTCATTCCTCCTTCTTTCCAAACCCTTCTGAACTTTGTCTTTGGGTAAATGCTGCCATTTTGATCTTAAATGGTTGAGCATTCTATGGTGTGTGCATCTCATTACCTTGTTGACCCCACTACATACCTACTATTTGTTTGGCTGCAAATTGAGGCATAGAGGTGAATTCAATTCCAGACCTGAAGAGTGACCAACTCATAGTCTCAGGGTTCCATTAGTCTTTATCTGACCAGTTAGCTTGTTTTGTTGTTGTTTTATTTCTATGATTTTGAGTTTTGTTCCACATTTTCTCCCACTCTTTCTAGGATCTTCTTATTTTGGTACTGATAGCCAGTACCATTTAGTTCTTTTGGTCTCAGAGTAGTGAAGGCTGATGTGGTCCATTAGTCCACTGGACTAATTGTTTCCAAACATCTTCATTTTCTATCACTCTTTCCTCTATAGAGAGACCAATAGCTGCACCTTAGATAGCCGCACATGAGCTTTTAAGTTCCTACTAGATATTCACCAAAGTTGGATGGAGAACACTGTCTTTGTGGAATATGTTATGCCAGTTGACCATGGTATTCCTCTAATAAGATTTCTAAGAGGCCTGATTTTGTCTTATCTCCAAAAATATTATTTGAGGGAGAATTCTTGAGCCTCTCTTCTTGCAAATTCAGTATTTTATTTACTTCTCCCAATACAACAAGAGCATCCATTAAAATGTAGATATAAAAATATGTTTAAAAAAAACACATCCATAGGAGACAGGGATTTATGTTAACGACAGAGGAACCCTCAGAAAAACAAGGTCTGAATGGCTGCACAACTCTAAGACTGTAATCAATGCCACTGAATTATACATGCTGAATTGGTGTCATCTTTGAAGTGTAGAATCTCAACAAGAAGTAATTTTTAAAATGTACATAAAAATCTTAGTGCAAGAATTATAATCCAGAAATACTGAAAATACCTTCCCTGTTTGTATTTGCTCCAGCCTTACCTCTAAGTTTATCTATGGGTGCTTCAAAGGGATGGTGATCTATAAACTACCTCAACTTTAGAAATTTCACTCAGATGTCTAGTCTACAGAGTTTACTGCTGAAGTTCACTCATCTTGACATTTAAATACTACTGTTTTATTGCTATATAAATGTTCAATATATAATAGTTCAAGCTCCTCTAACTATTGAGTAAAGGAGCTCCGGTAGCGTAGTGGTTACGAATCGGGCTGTGAACCTTAAGGTCAGCGGTTCGAAACTACCAGCCGCTCCGCGGGAGAAAGATGAGGCTTTCTACTCCCGTAAAAATTTACACCCTTGGAAACCCTGTACAGGGTCGCTATGGGTCAGAACCAACTCGATGGCACTTAACAACAACAACTATTGAGTAAGCTGCTTAAGGTTAAAATAGGTGTCTTAAATTTTGTATGTGCAAATAAATGAGTCATGTTTCTCAAGCATCTAATCTATACTACCAAAACACCATTTAATACCTGTTTAATTAATGACTAATACCCCACTTTGTTGCCCCTCTCCTACCCACTTCCCCCAATGACATTTATCACGTAGTCTAGATTTTCTAAGCATTTCAGCTTTCAAATTTTGTCCTACAGTCCCTTAAGTACAGTTGCATGTGCCATTGAGTAGACATATAGCACTCAATGGCTTTAATTTGAAGCCATCTTTATTGCAACAAATCTTAGATTTCTTTGTTAACTAGTAGATACACAATTTCAAATACAATCCTTTTTCAGTGACTTTTATCCTTGATTTTTTAAATTACAAAAGCATAATAGTAGAAAAAGTTTGATAACACAATATATATAGTGAAATTCCCTTTCACCAAAGGCGATCTTTTCCCCCCTGTTCCCACCTCAGGGCTTCGATACAAAAGTATTATCTAGAAAACATCTGGAGTCCTGGTGTGGCACTACAGGATAAACACTGGACTGTAAGGTTGGTTTGAACAGCAAGGTCAGTGGTTCAAACTCACCAGTCGCTCCTTGGAAAGCCTACACAGTATCGCTGTCAGTCAGAACCGACTCCACAGCACTTAACAACAGTAACAGAGAACGTCTAGTAGCCAGAGGAGGCGGCTGTGTGGTCCAAATGAAACTCAGACCTGCGTGCCCGTCCAGACCTGCCACTCAATAACTTTGTGACCTTGGGCAAGTCACTCAGACTTGAGTCTCAGGATTTTCCAAAAAAATGCCACCCATTTCACTCATTTGACCAAGTTGTTGGTCAAGTGAGGCAAGGATGTGTAAGCACTTTGTGAAGTCCAATGCACTGGGCAAGGAAGTACACCCCAAAAGATGAACTGACCTGGCTGCAACAATGGGCTCAGACAGGACGAACCTGGCAGTGTTTCCTTCTGTTGTGCTTATGGTCACAATAAATAAGAATCTACTCCAAGGCATCTGACAACATAGTATTTATCCCGTGGTCCCTGGGAGGCACAAACTGTTATGTGCTCCTGTTATCCATCTGGCATGACTTGATTCCACTCAGAAGTGCCTCAGAAGACAGGCCTGGCCATCAGCTTCCCACAAAGGTCACAGCCATAAAAACCCCATGATGCAGTTCTACTCACGTTGCCTTCAGTGGGAATTGACTGGGAGGCAACTAACAAAGACAATAAGATGCTTTGCAAATTTAAAAGGTTGTTGTGTTCTAGATTAATGTTTACTTCTGCTCGGCACCGCAGCTTTAATGATGCCCTCACCCCACCCCACTCCGATTCCCGCACAGCAAATCCAGTGGCTCCTCCAGCAAAGAAGTGACTGCTTCTGGAGACTCCCACACTCCCAGTGACCGAGAACAAGGACACGAGCGAGAGAGTCCACGAGCGCTGGGCCCCCTCTCCTAGAAGGTTAGGAAGCTAAAACAATCTCCGAAAGGCCACTCTCAGAAGTCTTAACTCACGATCCGCTAGGGCCGTCGCTAGGTCTTAAATTTATACAGTTGCCCTCGGCCTCAGGCTCACCAGAACCGGCAAATCTACGCTTCCTTTTCTACAGTAGCCTCGCCAGTTGGTTAATTTTTCCCCACGTGTCAACCACGCCCACCGGCAATGCTAGGTCCTCCACGCCCCTTGGTCTCTTTTTTATTTCAGCGCGCGCGAAGACTGAGTGCTGCCTTAATTGGTTGAAGGTAAGAGACACTTCCTATATGATTGGCTGATAATAGCTAGGGTGGGGAATTAAGGCCGCGCGAGGTGAATTATGGGGGTAAAGCCTACAGGCTCTGAATGGCTACTGGTTCCTGAGTGGGGGAGGGCGGAGCAAAAGGCGGAAACAGGAATTAAGTACAGGGCTACGCTGAAAAGAGGAGAGTCATGGAAGAAGTTAGGTGCCCCGAGCATGGTAAAGGGCCAGGGTCATGGGTTCCTCTGGGTCTGCTGATCTAGCGGCTGTGTAATCGTTGTTGACCATCTCTCCTCAGGCACCTTCTGTCTTCTGAAGACTGGTGTCCGCGATGGTCCAAATAAAGGAAAGAGCTTCTACGTGTGCCGTATGGAGGCGTGCGGCTTCGTCCAGCCCACCAAGTAGGTCTAGAGCTGGGTCCGATGCACCCAGCCAACTGGGGCCTCCCGGTGGGGCTGCAGGTTTTCGGAGCCCTTTAAGCAGTGGCAGCCTTGTAAGCAGGCTGTATGGCGAGTTGGCAACAGCGGGGCTGGGCGTCGGGCCGGTGCTCTGCCACTGCTGGCTTAGTGACCCGAGGATGCTCGATTCCCCTCTTTCTTATCAGCCGATCCCCCCATATGTTAAATGGAGGCTCTGGCAACATATGGATCCCTCCAGTTCCTCCCAGCTCTGGTTTCTATTCACCTGTCAGACCTTTTCCATTCACTACTACCTTAACATGTTTGGATTTCCCCTTCCATTTGAGGAAGAGGACACCCAAGCATAATGGAGAATAACTTGTCGCTTTTTGCACTATTTTTAGGCTGAACTGGTTTTAAGTGTTTGAAACACTCAGGTGGTCAGATTACCGGTTTTTTACTCCTCTTCCTTACCCTCCCCACCCTTTTAAAAAGTAAATTTCTGTAAGTGATGAGATGGATAATCCAAAGAAGCATGTTAGGGATAGAAACATTAGAGAATTGAAAGCTGAGGCCTAAAAATGTTGTGTGACCTCTCTAAAGTGAAAAAAATTTAGTACTGTTTTCACCAACTGTTAAACTAATCTCACAGTAACAGGTGAAACACTTTAATGTAAAATTTAAAAGTACATTAAATAATATTTTTATTGTTTTCTCTGGTAGCATAGTGGTTACGAATCGGACTGCTAATCTCTAGGTCAGCAGTTCGAAACTACCAGCAGTTCTGCGGGAGAAAGATGAGGCAATCTTGTAAAGATTTACAGCCTTGGAAACCCTCTACAGGTGGGTGTGGGTGGGAGTTGACTCGATGGCACTTAACAACAACAACAATCCAGGTGGACTTCATAGAGAAGATTTTTTTGTTTTTTGTTTTCCCTTCATATCATATGTGAGGCTCAGAATGGATGTCAATAGTAGAAAATAAAGCTCTTTCAGTATGTATATTAACTTCTAGTGTTTTCCTTAAAGGATTTAGATGATGTGGGTTGGTTATGCTTTGAAGCGAAGTGAAAGGACTTGGCATCATATTTCAGATTTAGAAAATACATTTAGAGAGAAAATACTTCTTTCTTAGCTCTTCAATAAGTTCTTTGTATTATTTGAAAGAAATTGCTGGGATCCAGTTTAATTAAATACAGAATGATTTTGAATGAAAAGCAAAGCAAAACATGAAAATAACCCTACTATCGAGTTGATTCTGACTCAGTGGTAATCTCAGGGGACAGTGTAGAACTCTCTAGGATTTCCAAGACTATAAATCTTTACGGAAGCTGTCAGTCTCATCTTTCTGCGGTGGAGCAGGTGGGGGGATGAAACTGCTCATCTTGGAGTTGGCAGTCCAATGTTTAACCCACTATGCTACCAGGTCTCCTTTTTGAGTAAAAACAGCGTCAGATCTTTAGAAGGAACCAAGCAAAAATACTCAAACTCTGAATCAGCATGTCATATTACGGTTTACAATTTCTAATTCCTAAATATACTGAGCTTCATGCATTCGTGAGCTAGCTCAAGTTTCATGAGACACGAAAATGTGTTTATGTTCTCAGTAGTTAAGTATTATTACGTGCAATCGACTTTGGTTCCAACTCAGATTGACCCTATATAAAGTAGCTGGTGGGTTTGAACTGCCAATCTTGTGGTTATCCTACAGCGCCAGCCACACCAGGAATCCATGTAGTAATGGTGTCAAAAGACACCATTATACATGGTACATTCAGCGAAATATGTCCTTATATACAGAGTGCTATTTATACAGATGTACTGCCGTATAAGGAGTCCTGCTTATATGTGCTATATGCGGTGCTGCAGGTTAATGTGCTGGATGGCAAGGTCAGTTTGAACTGCAAGGTCGGTGGTTCAGGCTCACCAACTGCTCCTTGGAAACCCTATACTGGGTCGCTATGAGTTGTAATCGACTCAACGGCACTTAACAGCAACAGTATTTGAATTAAAGGTAGTCATTTGATAAATACTTTATTTTGAGTATGTGTGATAAAATAGAAGCAAAAAAAAAACAAACAAAAGTGCCTCAGGTCATGAGAATACTTTAGACCTTGACTCAACCTATTTACTCTCAAATGTTATATATGAGGGAGCTTTGAAAAGTTTGTTGAAAAATTCCATTATCTCTTCATTTCATTTTCCTATAAACTTTTGAAGCCCCCTCATATATTTGCTTTTTTTTAATAATAAGATGAGTGGGAGGAGTTTTAAAAAAATTTGTTTATGCCAACTATGCAGTGAATTAGTACAGTGTATTGTTGTTATTGGTAAGTGCCGTCAAGTCAGTTCTAACCCATGGTGACCCTGTATAGAGAGTTTCTGAGGAGCAGCTGGTGAGCTTGAACCATTGACCTTGCAGTTCAAATTGACTTTGCAGTCCATCATATTCACTCACAGTGTATTCACATACACCAGGACTCCATGTATAATTAGAGATCACCATGTCAGAACCAACTTGACGGCACTTCATAAGCTAGTGGGTTATTAAAGTAAAAAGGATGGTGGGAGGGAGTCTGGGAAAAATTGATACAGAACCACATAGCCAGTCTGAGATAGTTCCTTCATACCTGGAGTGTGGAGGTCATATAGTACTGGGTAGCTTTAAACTTTTGAGTCATCTCAGGAAAAGATAGATCTGTGTATTGTCATGCTTTATTTGAGGGACTGGAGAAGATGAAAGCTACGGGCCCATTCTGCAGAGAAATGCACATTGATAAAAATGTAAGGGATTTACAACCTACCGGCTGGTAGTTTTAAACTGCTGACCGTGAGAATTAACAGCCCAATTCGTAACCACTACGCTACCAGATTAGAGCAAAACATCCTAAAATCCAAAGGAAAACTCTGGGTTTTAAATTTAAGTCCATGTATGACATCCATTAAGGAGCTCTGGTAGCGGTTATGAATCGGGCTGCTAGCCTCAGGGTCAGCAGTTCCAAACTACCAGCTGTTCTGCGGGAGAAACCAGAAGCTCTCTGCCCTCGTACAGATTTACAGCCTCGGAAACCCTGTGCAGGGTCACTATGAGTTGGAACCGACATAACAATAACAAAGTTTGTTTTTTGTTTTTTTTTCCCTTTCTCTAGCATTCCTGTTTCCTACTGCTTACTGCATGACAACTTTGTGGTAGAGCTTCAGTGTTTGCTTCGACCAAAGGGTGAGAAAGAATACAAGTAAGTGTGCATAAGGACAAGCCAAAGGTTTTTGTTTTTTAACTGAGTTATAGCCAATTATGTTTTCTTAGGAATGACTGTTGCAAGTTCATTATTTAAAAAAAACATTATTTCTAAATGTATTGTGCATTTTCTGGGCAATGGCTCAAGAGGTGTTGTGAATAATTTAATACATCTCCTCTAGCCTTAGTCTTTATAACTCCCACCAAATGACTTTTCCTGATGGGTCTGGGTAAGAGAAGGTGGGAAAAGATGCTGATAGAATGATACGATTCAGCTGTGGATGTTAACGGAGATCATTGTAATTATAAAAACCTGGAACTCTAGCATGGGTATAAAATGAGCCATCTCGAAGCCGGAGCAGGGAATCTTCCTACCATCAAAGAAGAGTCGGATTTGGGGGGTGTTCTTTGCAACCCAAGATCCCCATGCATTGAACCTTCTCGACCCAGGGACAGAAAGCTGTCATACCAGAAAAGTAGCAGAAGAATGGCAGAAAAGAAGTAGCCACAGAACCCAGAGCTGTGTGACTTTGGGCAGGAGACTTGCTTTCAGAGTAGAGTGCTTCCAGACACTTAACTGAGAAGCTAGGTTTGCTGGCCCACAGAGCTACTACAACCAAGTGCCTTCAGACTGAGGTTTTTAGTGGAATGGTATGCCCTGTGAGCATCTATCAGCAGCCTCAAAAGCGCTTTATAAAATGATACTGTTGGGAAGAGGCTATCCTGACTGGAAGAACTATGCCCTGAGCATTTTCTAATTCTATGTTAATTTCCTGTTAATTTCTGTAATAAATTCCATACCTGAGAGTATGGTGTCTGAGCTCTGCATGGCTAATGCAGTGAATTATTGAACTCTGCTGAGTAGACACATTTTTTTTTTTACAACTCCCTAACTAATTGCCGGAAGTCTTGGTGTGGCGCTGTGGGCTAATGCGTTAGACTGCAGAGTCGTTTGAACTACAAGGTTGGTGGTTCAAGCTCACCAGCTGCTCCTTGGAAACCCTATACAGGGTCGCCGCTATAGGTCGGAATTGACTCGATGGCACTTAACCACAACAAACTAATTGCTGAGCAGTTCACTTACATTAGAAACCTGTCCTCTGGTGAATTGCTGGATAAAATGGCACCATTTGTTGTCCCTCTACAAATCTTCATGTAGCCAATAATATCAGCCCACAAGTAGTCACCCACTTGTACTGTCAACTTTCTTATTTTAGTTAAAGAATGAAGTCATGTGTAAAATTTTCTAACATATGTTAAGTGATTTTCCATGAGTGCTGAAAGATAAGTAGGTACTCATGAGGTATAAGAGAGGAATCATTTTCAATGGATTAATACTCCTGATCAGGTACAGAGGTATGAAGGGACATGGCATCTTTAGAGAATTGCAGGTATTTCATTTGGTAATAGTTTAGCTTTTTTTTTTTTTTTTACTGTGAATTGAGTGATAGTTTACATGGGAGAGCATCAACTTTACATTCATCCTATTTCCTTTCATTACAATCCCCTTCATGCATCATCATTCAACAGCATTTGCTTCCAATTCCTCTGGGTTTTTTTTTAGATGTACACCGAAGCACTCAGCAATATATAACCATTCAAACAACTAAAAGGTATACCGTGCACACCAGCCTCTCATCCACCAGCGCACAGCCCCTCTTCCTCTCTGGGCCTAAAGTCCCCATTTGCTCCATCTCTCCACGTCATCGTCTCTGCCTCCATCTCTGGCATCACTGCTTCTCTGGGTAGGGTCCCGCACTCTGCTCTTCTCCTTTGATGGTCCCAGGACCCTCCACTCCTGGACAGCAAAGTCAACCACTCCTGTCCTTTTGCTATAAAACATCTACCTTTACATTTCCAACCCTCACAGTCAGTCCTGATAGCAGTTATTCACTATTATACCATAAGAGTCCTATCCCCATCTCCTTTCATCAGACCCACCCAGACAGATTAGATACTACTTAGTGGAGATTCTACCTTCCTCCATGCCTCTGGATCTAGGCTCCCTCTTGAAAGCTTGTAAGCCAGTCACTGCTTGCCTTTGTAGCTCACTCCCTCGCCCCTCGCATTTTGAGTAGCCAGTGTCCACATTGCCCATTCCTACCTACCACGTGTACCGAGGGGGTGGGAATGATTCACATTGTGAAGAATTTGTTCCCTCTTTTGAGCTACTGTATCCATACATAGGTGTAGCTCAAGTTTATCAAATTGTATCAGATTATTCTTTTTTTCCTCTTCTTTCTCCTTCTAGTTGAGTTCTGATCATCCAGCCATCAAAGCCAGGTCAAGTGGGTATTATCTGCAAGTGTGGGTGTTCTTGTGCATATGCCCTGTCTTATCAGCTGGACGCTTCACTCTCCACTCTAGTCCTCTGTGGCTATGTCACTGCCTCTGGGCCCAGGAGTCCCCAGGTCTTGCCACACTGCTGGCCAACCAGGTCTCCACCTGGGTTCACTGGAGTCTATTGAACGTGGTAGGACTTAGCTCACAGCTCCATTGCTGTTTTTCCCTTACTTCCCCTTATCGGTGACCAACATGATCACCAGTCAGATCACATATCTGCTTGTGTATTCCCCTTGAGTCTTAGTCTTGGAAGGGGTTTGCCCTGAGGGGACCCAACCACTTGCTTGATCTCCTGGGAGTATATGGTTTTTTAGGTGAAAACTTCAGCAGCTAAAGTTGCCCAGAAAGGCAGGGACTAGGATGTGAAGGTCTTTGTACAATATTCTGTGTAGTTCTGGATTGATGTATTCTAGATCTTTTCATTTTTTTCTGCAAGAAAATGGTAAGTATCAGAATATCTCCTACACCAATTTTATACATGTGAGTACTGTGTGTACTGCTATTTTTCTTGAGATAATGTGTTCAGTAAGAGGCACATATCTTAAGTGTTCAGCCAGTTGAGTTTTGAAACATATACATATCCATTCATATAACCAAGGCCTGAGGCAAAATATGAATATAGAACATTTCTGTCACATCAGTCAGTACATCAGGTCTCATTCTAATCTCTCTCCTGACCCCATACGTAACCATGGTTCTAATTTTTATCACTATAGGTTTGTATTACACAAGACACAAATAAGAAAAAAACAGGATCACGCATTTTTCTGTACATTTCATGCAAACTGAGTACAATGTGAAAATAATATATAAAGCACACTTTTCAGGGTCAAATTCTCACAAAAATGGCAGATTAATATGCAGAAAAGTCTGCACCAGTTAATGGTCCATGGCAAACAATGAGACAAAGGAATATCAGCTCTCCTATTTTTCTTGTAACAATGCAGGGATGTTTATGTTCCAGCCAATGGCTTGCCTATCAAAACCACAAGTAAACAGATTACATATGGGGTGATCATCACTCCAAGCTGAGCAGCATACCATTCTTCTATGGCCCTGTC